GAGAGTTTTTGAGGGGATTGAGTCTTCGTTTTCACATCTTAAGAATAGTCTTTTATCTCTGATCGCTTTTTGGTGCACACATGTAGCCCCTACTAGTGTAGAAGATTGGGCGTCATTTGTAGAGAATCATGTTCTAATGTAAATTCTCTACTTTTTGTATACTTCTTGTATGCGGGAGTTTTTTCTCCCTTTTGATTAATACAATTTACCTTATCAAAAAAAATAAGCTGAAGTATAACTCTCAGCAAACAAAATGCACATGTAGATGTAAGATATGCACGTCTGGCAATCGTATCCCCAAATGACAGGAAGATTAATCAGATTGATGGGAGGTAATTGACTATGCCAACCTTCGGGGAAGCGATAGATATGTTAAAGTAAGGGTTAGAACTTAAATATGAAGTATTCTCAAAAATGATTTTCAATTATACCTTAAAACGTTGTAATATGACAATCAGCAGTGATAGCTCCTGGATTGACTGGGTATCTCTCAAAGGCGTGTAGTCCTTCATGGGAATATTAGAAAGGTGTAAATAATCCCCACATTTCTCAAACATATTCTCATGCATTGGAGCAGAACCTGAAACTTGTAAGAACAGCTCAAGCTGCATGGCCTCGATGGCTGCACCTATATCAACCAATTTGCAACTGTTATCATTATTTTTCAAATCACACCTGTATTTACCAGATGAGGAAGTATCTTCACTATCATGGGCATTATTGACATACTCCCATAGATAGATGTGAAGACGCTTTGCCTGAGCCAATTTTGGCATCATAGACCTAATCCGATGACTCTTTTTAGCTAGTGCATCTTGGACATCCATTTCTACTCTGTGTTGTCCTCTGTCCATATCATGCACTATTGGAAGTGCATTCCCCTTCTCAAACTGAGAAAAGCTTTCTTTACGCACTTTCCTTTCAAAGGACCTAATTCTATCATAAATGTTAACCAACATTGCCGGAGATAACTCATAAATGGATGGATGCAGGACCACGACCTTTTTACGGTTCTCGTAAAAGTTTGTGACAGCAGGGAAGAAGACATCAAGGCATTTACAGTGCCCTTTTTGTTGAAGCTTTTTCAAACTGCGTTCTAAGGTCTTTTTGTCCATTGATGTGTGCCTGCCCTTCTCAAGATTCTCAAGTCGTCTTTGTAACTCAGGTTTTATAAGGAACTTCTCCTCCTGCTCAAAGAAGAATAGCTTGAGTTGGTTCATCTAAACTGAAATGTATAGACTTATATTCAATGCAGAAGCAAAAAAGTAGTTGAGATGCCAAATACCTCTAACATTTTAAGTATCCACTGCTCCCTCTGTTCCCTTGCCCAGTCTTCTCGCAATTTATGACTGGAATATGCTTTGTACGCTTGGCATCTAGGGGATATTGTTTCAGTTACCGAAGATTTTACAGGTACAAGGTCACGTACAGAAGAATCCATTATCTGCATTTTTGTGTCATTAACTGTGTTGCCCACATCTATGGGGAAATTCTGTCCGTTGCTCATTCTATTGTTGCCCCAATCCTGGACCTCCTTGATAGAGAAAAACAAAAAGGTGAAAAGTGTACAATGACGAGTTGAGTACAGAATATAAATATGAGAATGTGCGTCAATGGAATAAAGCATTTGGTTCCCACTGCCAGATAATACTTGAGATGACAAACCAACTACCTAGAAACTACCAAACCACTGAACCCCCCAAGTAGCCACAAAAAACATTGTACTGCAAACATGAAACTGTTGAGTTGTCCCACATCGGTGGGATTTGAGGTCCTTGATCTCCTTATATGATCTTGGGCAATCCTCACCTCATAAGCTAGCTTTTGGGTTGAGTTAGGCACAAGGTACATTTATCATGGTATCAGAGTCAGGCCCATCCCAATTATTGTTACCAATGTTGGCCCCCCATTTATGTTGTCCATGCTCCAGTTTGCAGGCCTGGGAGGGGGTGTTGAGTTCTCCCACATCGGTGTGGGATTTGAGGTCCTTGGTCTCCTTATGTGGTTTTGGGCAATCCTCACCTCATAAGCTAGCTTTTGGGGTTGAGTTAGGCTCAAGGTACATTTATCAGAAACATAGTAGTTTCCCTACTGCAACCAGAATATAATGCCCAAACGCATAGAAATCAAACGGAAACTATTGACTCATTAATCTTATCGCAGACCTAAAATAAATAACTAAAAGTATTCCCTGCTTGAGATAAGGTGGACAAACAATTCAAAAGGAAAGAAATAAAATTGGGTTACACCATGTTTTATGTATATGATGCATTTTAGTGCTATCTCAACGTCAAACGCTATATTTTCAATGATTTCATGTTTATGAACTATTTAGTTGCAGATAGCGCATGTTTACGAACGTTTTGAAAGCTTATATGATGACAAATATGGATTTCATGATATTGATACATGAAATGTTTTTGGAGTAACCATGACAACTGAGAGGGTATTTGGACGTACGGGTTCAATGCCCAGAAACGGTACGTGCCGGTATAGGATCATAGCTAGTGCCATTTTTAAATGGTGGTTATGTTGCACCACACGAAAGTAAGTGGAAATGTTTGCTAGCATACCTATGGTAAGAAGGCATATGTCAATCGGGAGGATGATCGGACATCATAAGCACACATGGCAAAATCATGTTAATTTCTAGTGAAAGCTCCCTAAAGTTATAAATACTTATATTCATGGACCACGAGCACCCTTTGATTTCAAAAATAATTTCGAATGACTTAGCATATGTTTATTATATTGGGATAACATTGATTTGCATGAGAAATATGATTGTGATATTGAAGTGCATGTTTTTTGAATACTTGTCCCATATTTTAAAGGGTGATCAATAAGACTTATGGGGTATTTTAATACTCACCCCCTTACATGTGTGGTATAGGTTTGGGTATTGCAATGGAGTCCAGTCCATGACTTGAGCACCATTACTTAGAGCTTCAGTGGTGAGCCCCAAATTTGATCAGTGGCGGCTTAGTTCATTTCAATTGTTATTAATTATTTGGGGGACCATGTCCCACTTCTTTTTTGAAACAAGATTCTTTAGACGCTCTGTGACTCATTTTGGCTAGATGTATATGTACTCGGTATTGTATTTGGACTATGCCTCTCGAGGCTTAATTCAGATATGTTATATATTCGAGCCTTTCTTTGGGATGCTAAGCCTTATATTTAGTTGATACGACGGGCAGAAGGATTAGCTCAGTGAGCGCCAAGCTCGTCGGACACCAACCATTGCCCCTTAGTTTGGGTTGTGATAACAACAAAATTAAAGGCAAAAGTCTTCCTACTATGGTTAAGCTGTAGATCCTTCTAGAATAAATCTCACTAATTAGAGACACTCATTTGGCCATATAGATACCATCCACGACTTCCACTTACAAATAAAGCTTCAAGTACTACTGACTTGATTGTCAAACACCCTGCTACTGCTTCTTTGGCATGGAATTGTTCTAAAAGCCCTCTACTACATTTCAGAGCACTAAGGGGTAGCATCCCATCTATGCACTACACACCCTTCACCTATACATCTTATTTGATAGCCTATACTAGTTCACCTATCATTATCAACCATTTTGCTCCTTACACCTAGAAAATTTGTGCTCCCTACTAGTAGAAGATATGCTCTTGAAAGTAGTTTCACTCTTTATCTTTCGTTAATTGGATTTGATCTTTATCACCTTATGGAATGAAGAATAAGGCACAAAAATACTCTAACCAAAAATAGTTTTCAACACCAACTTGATCCAACCAAAGCGTCTCCACTTTGATGCAATTTATAACTCTATAAGGCATGAACCTAGGGAAATCCATGAAATCTCTGCTTACAGATGTCTTTAACATGTAAAAACTACACCAGAGAAATCTATACTATACCAATGCACAATCAAACAAAGAGTGAAGTTTATACAAATGTATAACTTGCCTCAAAGTAATAGTAGGAAATAATTTGTTCTTGACTCTCTTATGTTTGTAGGTGAAAGACTGATAACCACGGAAAAGTTGGAAATGACCTTATTCATCGAGATAAAATGCAGTGGCATACGGAACTGTGAGATAGTGTACATCATGCAAGAATTTGTAGTTTAATTCAACACTCTTTTGAAATGTACTGGGTGGAAAGGACAACTAGTATTCTAGTACCATTTCATACTTTAAAGGATGTTAAGTTGGAGTCTGACAAGAAGGTAGAAGATAAATTTCACAAAGCAGAATTCAACCTATGAAGATTGGGATATTCGAATTTCAAACTAAAGGTGTAGCAGTTGTCATGTTTCTAAAGGGTTTGAAGTCAGCTAGGCATCTATGCCCCAAATTGAGGTCTGATCTTAGCAGTTATCCTCTGACTGGCTTTATTAAGCAGGAATACCTCTATTTAAGCAGACTTTAACTAAGGAGAAGAGAAGTGCTGCAATTTTCATGTTTTCAGACTCTGTTATTCTTTTTTAAATCCTTCCTACACTTCTCTTAAATAAGGAGGGCATAAAACAGCTGGATGGCATATAAAGCACAGCAAAAACTCATAACTCACTGTTACTTCTTAAGACCACATCTGAACTGTTACACAAGACATTCCATGAAAAGTGGTAGATGGTAATATCAACAGAAAGAAATTTACATACTTCAAAAGTCTGATGCTCGACGGGAAGCTCCACTAGCTGTTGGCCAATCTGACCTCTCTTTTCTATTTTAACCGGAGGTTGTTTTCGGCCAAGGTTATCAGATCGACGAACGCGAGTATTAAAGTGCATGGTTGAAAATTCCTTTAAAAGACGCAAAGACTTGCCCTTCTGTGAACAGTGAATAAAATTACATAAATAAAGTCCATATGTAGATCACCATTTTTAAGATTACCAAATGAAAACAGTACTGACTGAAGGTGAAAGAGAATATTTTTGGTCTTCTGCCATTTTAATCACCTTGCTGTCTATCAATAATGTAAAATCCCCGAAGGCCCGAGCTACTAACTCGATAGCACTTTAGCCCGTATCATTCGTTTATTTTCACAAAATGGGCGGGTTGTGTCAATTTTGAGTGGGTTAAAATGAGTTTACCAAATAATAAGTCATGATTCAACCTGCCCAACGTATACTTGAATCATGATGGATTGGTCAAAATAAAATAACTAACGGGTCATACCCAACCCGTCCAACTTGATCCAGATTAACAAAAACTATGTAATTACAGTAAGCACTTTGATGGAGATTCAAAAAGTTAAAAAGGAACTACCAGCGAATATTGGTTTAGATGACAAACCACAGATTTTTCTTGAATCTCACATGCTTTAACAAACAAACAACATGTCAACAGAAGTGTTTAAAAGCTTTGAAATTCCATTTATGTAACATGAGAAAATATCAAGGTTCTATAACACGAACAATTTAAGGTTGATTGAACTATTTAGTGGATTTCAGCAGCAGATTTATGTGTTACATATTAGTATATTGTAACTCTGAAATAAATGAGAGTAAGCAGCAAAGACTTCTGTTTATCTTGCTTGATATACTTCAACACCATCATTCAAATCAGCTTCATATATACTAGCATGTGGGATATGGATGGATCATATCTTCTAATATTTCTTTCTATTCTAGTCCATTTCCCATGTTTTATGCCTATTTCATTTAGACAGCTATACTGAATCAAATGCTATAAACTGCAATGCAGAGGACAATGAATGTGCATTGTAAAGCAAAACGTTGGAAGTGATCTACAATTTAGGTCAATATGAATGTGTTTCACTTACTTCAGTTACCTCCACGACCTGAGCTTGTGTCAACCTACGTAAGATCTGTCAGGAAATCGTATCAGACAAATTGTACAACTTAAATAGTGCTTCTTTTGGATTCAATTTACTACCTCCAAGATAATAAGAACTTACATTTTTTCTCCATTCTTTATGTCCAAGAGCATCTCGATAACCTAGGTCCTTTTTAATATTTGAGATAGCAATAACCTGGAAAGGTGAAACAGGTTATAAGAAGGTTAGTATCATGTTGTTCACAAAATTGAGATACCCACAATAATTCAAGAGTATGACAGACCTTCCCCTTAGCCTTTTCAAGTTTATTACAAATTTCTCTCAGTATGGGCAGATAATCTTTTATATGCACATCCTCTCCATTAGACTTCACATCACAGCTAGCAGAATTTTCATGAGATAAATCATCAGACATCAGAACTCCACCTCTTATTTCAAGCCTTTGTTGACTGTGCAAGTGCTTCCTGTAGCGGCTTAAATAGAGCATGTTGGTTGTAGTATGCTTACTTATAAGTTTCCCTTTGTTGGATGCTTTGTTTGTCCAAACAACTGCTTCATGCCTCACAATCAGTCCTAGAACCTCAAGCTCCTTAAATATGTGGAAGAAGTTATTGGCCTTGATGCCAAATTCCTTAGTAAGCTCACACTGGGTAATTCCATTTGCTCTGTCATTGCACCATGAACCATGGTTAGCACATTATGAGAGGAAGCAGTGTCTTGATACTTGCTTTAAAGAGACAAAGAAGTCTCTTCAACCTATATATGCCAAGTAGGAGCGCAAACAACAAATTAAAAAGAATAAAAGCTTTTGAAAGTATGCTTCTCTTCAGCTCACAATTAGCATGACCGCACAGTAAGTCCAAGGTTCAAATCCTGATATAGGCAAAAAAGCTAGGTACTCTCTTCTTAATTTTTAACCTTTGAAAAAGTAGGTTACCTGGTGGAAGAATGCAATAGAATAGCTGAGGTGAGGCACAAATTGGCCTGAATATCACCATTTTAGAAATAGGAGGTGTCATTAACATTACAGATTTTAAATTTCATAACTTCAATGAAAACACAGCAAAAATTTTAATCAGGATGTGGATAAATCGGCAATGAGAAGAATAGTTTACAAAAATGAAGAAAAAACACTTCTTTCAGAATTAGAGTGTAATTTCTATGGAGCAGTGACATATATAATAATAGTTACAAATGTACATATATCAAAAAGACCAAATTTCACTCAACTCATTAACTCTAAATTCTGGCCGATTTGCCTCAATTTTGGAGGAAGAGATGGAGGAGATGAACAAACCTTGCAATGGCGATGCGTTGGAGGACTCTTTTCCGGAGATGAAGAGCTTCTAACTCTTGTTTACATAGCTTAGACTTGGAAACCTCAACCTCATGAATCCTAGTAAAATTATCAAGCATATGCTCCGGCACAACGATCTTCAATTCCATTCTCTCACATTCTTCCGCAGTACACTTAACCAAATCATTATCTTTCGTTTCGAATTCGAGACCTGGAATGTTAATAAGGCTAGACAAAATAGCCTTTTTTACATTATTACAGAGCACAACACCGTTTTCTGAAAGGTAGGGTTTAAGTTTGGGCCAGAGATCGGTTATAGGGATTGAATTACCGCCTTTAAAACTTTGTATGCAGAGTTCTTCCACTGCTTTGTTCACTATTGCGTCCATATATTTGTGAAAAACAAGTTTAAATAGAATTATTTCGGAACTCACACTCTCAATATAAAAATAAAACCATAAACGTCTAAATTCTAGATCTGTTACAACATTATATCCGTGTGAGGATCATATGTTAGAAAGAGTATAGTTTGAGTTCTCTGAAGTTTGTGGTGACGGACGGCAAGAGAAGAGGGCAATCGTGAAACCCTAAATTAAATCAAGAGCTTGGATTCCTATGGAGCCGAGAATGGGAAAAAAACAGAGAGCAAAGAGTTGTGGACTGAGGAGGAGGAAGAGAGGAAAGGAATGAATTTGGTAAGAATCAAAACGGGTATTTATACGTTTCTATAGAAGGAAATCAGCTAATTATAATGTACTCCATAAAATAATATATTACTCCATTAAGACTATTTTATGCGAATTTTTGGGGAAAAGGGAAGAATAAACTCATGAATCCTCATTCCTATTCATATAGTTATTAATATAATGGTCAAATATATCCCTGTTAAAAATAATTTAAATATATTTTTTGTTATACTATCGGATTATTTTAGACTCTATGGTTATACTATGAAACAAATATAATTCCATGTGGCGGATTAAATTGACCCATTTTTATTTTTTCTAACCCGATTCACTTAAGAAAAACCCGCTATCCGACCCAAAGTTTACCCCCACTGCTTCTCTCTCCCCTCTTTTCCTCCATTCTTATCTCTTGCATCACTGTTACGACCATGGCTGGTATCTCCATTGGCGAATTCGCCGGAAACCATGGAGAACCTTACGATTTGTCACCTCGCACCTTCTCTTCCCCTTTCTATATACCTACGCACACATTTATATATGAATCTAGAGAAATACATACAAGATGCCGGAGATCTGAAAGTTTTGGGTGTGAAATTTACTGGATCTGACTGGAAATACATTTTCCGGCGAGCCATTGTTCTCTTTTTCATATGTTCTTTTTATTTACCAGATCCGGAAGGGAGACGAAATAATAGCTGAAACTCCGACCATGGAGTATGGTCGAAATCTTGTCGAAGAATTTTCCGGCGACCTTTGTGCACCATGTTTTCTCTCTGACCGCTGGTCCGTGTCTAACGCCTTCGTAGCAGCGCCTCATGCGACTTTTATTGCCACAACAGCGGCACATTCGATTCAACTTGCTCATGGTGGTAACAAATTAAAGAAGTACAGTGGGAGACCTTTGACTTCTGAGAATACTTCAAAAGTTTGTTTGACAAGAAAGTTTTTCAACATATACTTGCAGATTTGTATCATGGAATTTTACAATCAAATTTTTAAATTTTTTTCTCAAATGAGATCAGATTTTTTCATAAATTCATCATTTTTGCCCTCCTGTTTGTGAATTATTTTGATCGGTTGAATCATTTGTTTCCTGCGGGAGTATGATATGGAAGTTTGACCTGATAGCAACTAAAATAATTGTGCTTCCTCTTATCACTAAAAAAGAAAGAGGGATTATTTCTTTGGATCTACAAATTTGCACCTAGAAAGAAGGTTTGGATGTTGTATCGCCTAAAGTGCTTATGTGGGTCTGTATGTTGGCAATGGTTTGATCCGTAAGTGAGTGGATTTAAAAGTGAATCGAGTTAAAAAAAAAAGGGAAAATCCGTCGATTTAATCGTGTGCTGCCACGTGGGACCGTTCGAAACGAGGGTATATTTATTTTATAGCATAACGGTAGGGTCCGAAATGATAACGAAGGATATATTTGAACTATTTTCAATAGTACGAGGATATATTTGACCATTTTTCGTTAATATAACAGAAAATATAATGTAAAAGTATCGGTGTAATTTATCGATTATACAAAATTATTAGTTTACTAGTTTTCGAATACGTGCACATATATCACATGTTAATTGATACAAATTCTTAGTCATGTTTTAAAAATAAATGTTTGATCTTAACTAAGGGTTTGTTTGGTATGACGGGAAATATATTCTGGAACATATTTTTTTATTTTTCACTATTTTGTTGCACAGAATAATTTGAAAAATATTTTTTTAGGTATCACATTTTCCTAAAATTGGAGCAAAATAATTCCCCTAAAAAAAGTTAGAAAAACATTTTACAAAAATTTCATCTACCCTCACATCTAACTCCAACCCCCTCCCCCTTCTCTTCCCTACCCCACCTCTCTCACCCCCTC